TTAAAATTAATTTTTAAAAAATAAAAATATAATATTTTAATATAAAAAATATTTTAAAAAATAATCACAATTATTCTTCCAAACAAATCCTGTTCCAAGTATGGAATTGCTTGCAAGTCGTAAGCAGTACCCTGCCCTAACAAAAAATCTGACAATCACATGTAAATTATTTCTTTTTTTTTTTTGGTTTAAGGGGCACCACGACTAATCCCACGAGCCCTGAAGTTAATGACTATGTAAACCTTCAGTAGCCATCATATGAGCAACCAAGGACTTGAACCTGAAACCACAGAGGGAGCAAACCCCTTGATATTTCTTTCTTACCCATCCATGAACATTACTCTATTTGCAATGCTAAACTGTAGGCTTCCTTGAAATGTCGTCTTTCATGTAACAAGTAAATTGTACGAATCTAAATGGGTTTAAAATGATCCCGATACTTATTTTGTGTTCATGAACATTATTACTCTATTTGGTGCTCATGTATTGTCTGGAATGCTGCGAACAATGGCACGTTTTTTCATGGTCATGCTGTTATTTCATGTCATAAGAAATGATCGTGGTTTCACGTTACTGGTTATTAGGGAGCAGGGCTGTATGCATCAATTGCTAAGCATCGCTAGTTGTTAAAGAGCAAGTCGATCGTGATGGCTGCCATACACCTCTGCTCATTGTTATATGTTACTAACTATGGAGCAGACATTTAAATTTTTACTTCTTGTTTCCAGGCACTATTGATTTGCATGTACAAAATTGCTTGTTCTTTCTTAGAGGTTGTGCTGCGTAGTCGGATCAAGATACTGATTCAAGTTCATAACTTTGATGTGTGTCAGAATTGTAAGTGCTGTTAGTAAAAGCTGCTGTGGAGGAAAACAAGAAACTTGATGGTTCTGATGCATGAAATATCAGCAAGATACAACTTAATTCAACATGATTCACAGCTGAATCAATTTCTGAACTTTAGGGCTTTGAACATGGTTCCTGTATTCCAAGATCAACTGGTTTTCTTCAGATTTAGTAAAGATATGGATGTAAAACCAGACAGGACATTCGAGTTTGGGTGGCATTGTCCTTTACAGCAGTGGATGACGTAGATACTATGAAGTTTGATGTTATTAGTCTATTCTTTCCCGACAAGATTAATTACATCACGGATCCTGGCCCCTGGTTAATTCTCTTCTCCATGGATATTTGGTGTTCATGTATTGTTTGGAATGCTGCGAACGTTGTTAGCCTGGAACTACTGTACAATGATAATTCAGTGTGCTTTAAACCCGTCAACACATGTTCGATAAAAGCCTGTATTGATTTTCAATGTCAAAGCTTTTGCACCTTGGAGTCCATGTCAACTGACATTCATTTTGGCCCCCGTCTTCTTGCCCTGTTCAATCTTGCTATATTTCATAAAACAAGCATATTTAAGCTCTTTTTCGCAAGATTGTGATTTCACATTTCATATTTCAGCTAAATAGTTGGGTGAAGAGAATCATTGTCTCCGAGGTAAATAGTTGCAGATAGGATATGCTCTGGATTCTTTTTAATTAAGAGATTTTCCTTCAAAATGTCTTAAACAAAAAGTTCTTGCCTTGAGCATGGGAGCTCAGATTGCATTGGCAACTTTTTACACTTGCATTCATTCATACCTGCTCTGTAACTTGAATATGGCCCGGTTTTTATTTTATATATATATATATGCATATAGTCAACTCAATTTGTGATATAAATCAAGTATTAAAACTATAATATTAATATTTTTATTTATTTTTATATTGACTTGAATTAATAATCATATTTATTCATAATATAAATTTTGTTATAAATTCGATTATTGATTATATTTTAAAATTATAATGATAATTATTTTTATTATTATATTAATTTAAATTAATAATTAATCTGATTGATAACCCAACTCTTACCTCTTGTTAACTTCTTAATTAAATTTTGAAATTATAATAATAATTATTTTTAATTTTATATTAATTTAGATAAACCTAATAAACTCTTACCAAGAAAATTGAACATAATTGTTCTTCTTCTTTTAATCAGACAAAATCTTCTCACTAGACTGGCCTTGAATAAAACAAAAATTGAATTTTTATATGCACCAAATAACTTCACAAAAATACTTGGTCTATCTTTACCTAGCATACTATAAATAACATATCCAGCACCGTAAATTAATGATAAGTAACAACTCTTCATTAATAACATTTATTTATTTTTATTATTATTCCACTGCATCTGTAACTTCACTCACCATATATATGCAATATCACTATCTACAAGATAAATTAACATGATCAATTTTTATAAATAACTCATGTTATTAGGTAAACATTCTAAGTCATTTAAGCTCATTTAAGGATTTAACATCAATTTATTCAATCATAAAGTGACCTTCATTTTATATCTCATTTCCACATATTTTTTATGTTCATGAATTTATCAATTTAAATATTTAAAGAACTTGTTTTGTATAAACAATGTGGTAAAATTAATATCTAATATTGAAAGATATAGTTTAATTGGTTAAATTTTAAATTTATTTTCTTAAAATTATCAATTTAAATTTTATAAATTTTAAAACCTATAAAATTAATTAAAATAAACACAATTTAACACCCACATTAATTAAAAAAAAAAACCCTTATATCTAATCCTACACATTTCAGCCGAAGGTTTTCATCATTTCATCTCGACAATATATATATATATATATGAAACTAAATCTTAGGTGGAACTTTCAGAAGCAGGGGAGAGCGCTGGACTCCCAGGGATTATCTTTGTCGCTGCTTCCCAAGTATAATTCGCAGTTCATTATCCCCAAAACAGACTGTTTAAGCCGATGAAAAAGACGGCATCGTTTCAGCGATATCAGAATTCAGAAGGGATGCTACACGATATTTTGAGCGTTTGAGGGAGGGAGGGAGTGGGTGACTAGTCAATCAAAAACAAAAATGTCGAAATCAGTGGAACAAACCCTAGAAGGGGAAGACAACAACAACAGCAGAGGAAGCGAATCAAACCCTAATCAATCACAAGAATGGGAAACAATGGCTCGACTTTGGCTCAGTGCGTTTCCTGGAGTGAAAGCAGTGAGTGGGACCGAGGTGGAGTCATGGATAGATTCTAATTACTCATCTTTGCCTTCTGATTTACAATCCATGCCTCGTTCAGACCTCGTTAATCGCTTGCTTTCTATTCAAAATTACATGAGACTCCCCGATCACAGTCAGCAGGTACCTTGCGCTTTCATCATCATCATCATCATCAAAGCATTATGAGCTAAGTAGTTGCCATTTTTCCTATATCAGGTGCCGGAGACGAATCAGGTTGATGTTCCACATGCTCGATTTCAACGCACAGATCAATGGCTGCCGGTTTATTCCTGGCTGGAATCTTTGGATAAAGATGAGGTGGTCAAGTCCAAAGATATTTCTGATTGGCTGGCTGAGAATCCAGGGATAAGAGAACAGCTGTTCTCTAGACATTCTAGATATCATTTGATGCACTACATTAAAAAGTGCCACGTAAAGATACTCAAGAGGAGGGAAAGGAAGAAGGTAACAGTTGCTAATCGTCTCAGCTCTTTTTTATTCTAGAATCTGTTGGCGTCCAAATACATAATTATTTAGAGGAGATAAGAAAGGTAGAGAGAAGAAGAAAATAGAAAAAAAGGAGCTTAATTGGTAAAATTAAGAAAACAAAGACTTGATACATCATTAAAGACTTGACTTGGGAGTCTAATTGCTTCCTTTTGCATTGAACTTTAAGATATTGCCATTATTAATCAATTCCATTTGACCTTTTTTCATGTTACTTTAGTAAGCTATGTTTTGCTTGAACAGGGTGTGCAGCCGACTGACAATCCCGGTTCACCGAAAGTTCAGAAGAATGTGGAGGTGAAAGAACTGACACCAGTTCCAAGTATGTCTTCTTCACGGATTGTGTTATGTGTATTCTGGAAATGACAGGATTTTGCATTTTGCACAGCTTTGTGCACACTAAGCCATTCCATAATATGATTGCATTACATCAAATGGATTTTTATATAGTGGAAAAACAAAATTTGATTGATATTCTTTCAAGATTGTTAAAAATAATCTCTTGTAAAGCCAATGAAATCACTCAAGTTGTTGCTATGACAACGAAAGTGACTTGGTCCAGATTATGCATAAATTCGAGCAAATACTTGAGTTTTGGTTTGATGTCCAAATTTTCCTCCATGCCTGTATCTTAAACTTGATGCAATATCTTGGTAACTGTAATTTTAATGCTTGTAGTGTTCAATCCTTTGAACAATATACCTAAAGACAGTGAATTGTATGTGGCAAAACGAAATGAGGCTCTTCAGAAATATGAGATGTAAGTGAATATTATTTTTTCTTTTGTCCAGTTGCATTCTAGATTTTTGGTTTTCCAAATTTGAGTTTCCTCACTAGTTATTGTTTTTGAAATTTCAGTTTGTTGGAGCTGGAGAAGAAGCTCTCCCCTCACTTTTCAAAACGTGAGGCTGTAAACCACTGAAGCAAATCTTGAATCAAATTCTCCATAGGCAGATGTGAAATAGCTTAGATGCTGCTAGTGATTTTTCACTAGCAATGAGTTCTGTAAACAAGTGACTAGTGGATGGTATGCTAACGTGCCTCAAGTTTTGTAAGAGCTATCCTTGCTCGCCCTTTCAATGCCTTAGTTGTCTAGTGCGTTGACGTTTTTGGTTGTTCGATCAGAAACTGTAGGACACATTAAAAGCGAAGAGTGAGACTCTGGGAAGAGCACCTTTAGCTAACATTCAAGAAAACTGTAGTTGCCTACGGAAGAATTAAATTTGTGAACTTGTTTGTGGCTTTAAACCGACTCTTGATAAATTAAAGTAAAGCTTGATCCCAAGAGTTGTGCACTAGGCTTTGGGGAGCGTAGTATCAATGAAAAATGTTTGTATTGTAGGAGTTGGAGTCCCTCAATAAGATAGCTTCCCATTAAAATGTCCGATGCGACCAGCCAGAGCTTTCTCTCTCGCACTCTCTAGCTGGGCACCAGATTGGGGATTTCCAAGACAGAAAGCATACCTTCTTCTCATGCTGCAAACTGGGAAAAGGAGAGCCACGTATGATGTATCCTTAATTTAAAAAAGGAGAGCCTGATGTTTTGACCTCGCACCCAACCGGATCCATGAACAAGCTCGTTTCCTCTAGGCCACTGCTAGGCCTAAAGGAGGGTACGGGTGATGGACTCTAGCACCAGACGTTCTGTGATCAGATTTCGACGAGGAGGGCTTGCATCTTTGCGCCATGACCTTATCAAAAAAGACAACGGGTTGCTAGCTCACTATATCTCGTATTGACATGACGGCAAATGGAAAAGAGAGGGAAACAGACAAGGCCTCGACTGGGCTAATTACTTTAGTGCTTAATTAACCAAGGCGTTGGCTCTACTTTTAGTTAGTGTGTGTAATGCATTTTGAATATTTTTTAAAATAAAATTTTGGTTTATTTTTTAATTAAATTGTGTTTATTTTTAAATGATATTGGATGTATTTAGTTTTTTGAGAGGTGAGTATGATTCATTAATGATTTAAAAAAAAAATTATAAATATTAAATTTTAAAAAAAATATTGATTTTTTTATAGGATTTTTCATAAGTGCAGCTTTGTATTATTTTTTTAATTATTATTCAATAAATTTTATGCGTTATATGTAATGATACATTAGTTTTTTTATATATAATTATTGTTTAATAAATTTTATGTGGATCTGGCAACCAAGACCCTTGAATTTTGCATTGTTGTCAGATCTGAAACACTTTTGTCTACGAGTTATATATATGCATATGTGTGTACGCGTCTTGAGGGAACTATTTCGTCCATGCTTGTTCAAAAAAGTTTAAAGACTTTAAATGCTTTTAGATTGTTTTTTTTTTTTGGATAATTTATCTTTTGAGATGAATATTTGAAGCACGTACCATACTTATTTTATATATTAAGTTCAAATGTATAGATGAATATATAAAATATTTTTGCAAATACTTAACTAAACTACTTAAATCGTTGGAGTCACAAGAAGTTGACAAATATTTATTACTTCTTATTTGCTTACAGTTGTTGAGAATTCAGTTTTCATTTAAAAATTAAGTATTTATACTTTTTTTGTTCATCATATCACTTGTTTATTTTAAGTTTCTCGAACAATGTTTATATTAGATTAATTTTCCTTTATATTTCATAATTTTATTTTTTATATGAAATTTCAAATAATTGAAGCAGTTTTTTTACATGTTATTTATTTGTTGCTTAAAATCCAAATCATATATTTTTTTTCACACTACCTGCTCTTGATTGCAAGTTTTAAAAGTATTTTTTTATCTTTTAATTATCACATAATTAGAAGAAGCATGTCTTTTAAAAGTAACCTATTAACTAATACTCTAAATGGCGATGAGAAAGTATTGTAGCTTTTCTCACGCCACGTGTTTTCTCTTTTTTTTTTTTTTTGTTTTTCGGGGATTTACATGTTTTTTCTAAAGATTGTTTTTATATTTATATTTTTTTTAAAATTATCTTTATTAATTTTTTTAATATTAAACTGGTTGAAAATTTAGTTTTGTAGTTTTTTCTTTAAAATATTATGAATTATTACAATATTTCTCTATATGATGTTTTTCTTCTTCTTTTATGAATTTTTTTTTTAAAATATTCTTTGTCAATTTTATTTTTTTCATATCGAGCTGATTAAAAAATTTTCTTCGTAATTTTTTATTTAAAACATTGTGGATTGTTATAATGTCTCCCTACATGTTTTTTTTAAATTATCTTTGTCAATTTTTTTTAATATTGAGCTAATTGAGAATTCAATTTTAACTTTCCTCACATGTTTTTTTTCTATTTTTTTCCTATTTTTTTGCTTTTTTTTTTCAAAATCATCTTCTTCTTCTTCTTCTTCTTCTTCTTCTTCTTCTTCTTCTTCTTCTTCTTCTTCTTCTTCTTCTTCTTCTTCTTCTTCTTCTTCTTCTTCTTCTTCTTCTTCTTCTTCTTCTTCTTCTTCTTCTTCTTCTTCTTTTTTATTTTTTTCAGAATTATTTTTGTTAATTTTATTTTTTTTTAATATGGAGATAGTTGAAAATTTAGTTTTGCAATTTTTTTTTTGAAAACATTATGGATTGCTACAATATTTTTCCACATGATTTTTTTTTTTCAGAATTGTCTTTGTCAATTTTTTTTTTCATATTAAGCATTTTGTTTTTGAAAACATTATGGATTGCTACAATATTTTTCCACATGATTTTTTTTTTTCAGAATTGTCTTTGTCAATTTTTTTTTTCTTATTAAGTTGATTGAGAATTTAGTTTCATAATTTTTTTATTTAAAATATTATGGATTGCTATAATGTTTCCTCGTATTATTTTTTTTGTTATGATTTTTTTTAAAATTATCGTTATGAATTTTATTATTTTTAATATTGAGCTGATTGATAATTACCACTATAGATTTCCTCATGAAACACTATAGATTGCTATAGTGTTTCCCTGCATGGTTTTTTCCTTTTATTTTTGTTGATTTTATTTTTTTTATATTAAACTGGTTGAGAATTTAACTTTGTTTTTTATAAAAAAAACATTGTGGATTATTACAATGTTTCTACATATGATTTTTTTATTATGATTTTTTTTAAAATTTTCTTTATTCATTTTATTTTTTAAATATTAAGCTGATTAAAAATTTAATTTTATTATTTTTTTAAAAAAATATCATAATAATTTTTCTCCATGTAATTTTTTTAACAAACCTATAGTAACGCACAAATATATTACAACCCCGCGGTACCATTCGGACATAGAATCTAGTACTAATGCATAGAATCTAGTACTAATATATAGAATGTTTTCTAGGATGGTTTTTAGTAGGTAACTGTGGATATTCTCAATAGATAAGAATTTTTTTCCTTTAATCAATGTTATTAAATTATTAAAAAAAATGAAACTCATTCAAATCAATTACTAAAGTTTCAATTCTTTTTATTTTTTTAAATCTTATAATCACTTAAATATATTTTTATAATTAAAAAAATAACCTAGCTTTATTTAGTGGACAATGAGTTTAGATCTTGTCGTCGTTGTGATTAACTGAATTGCATATAAGCTATCAGATTATATTAATCTTAGTTAAAATGCATACAGGATTAATATTATATTATTTTTTTAAAAAAACAACAAATTAAAATATTGATTCACGTGGTGTCGTGACTTGATACATGATCGTCTATCTTGTGGCGTTGATGGCAGTCAGATTCGAGGGAGATGTGCAATAATTTCGTCTACCAATAAAAAAAAATTGTTATGAATTATTGAAGATTTCTATATATATAAAAACACACGCGATGGACGCGAATATGAGAAAAACCGTGAATCTGACTGAGTAAAATAAAATAATAAACACTGCAATTATATAAGTTGGCGAAATAAAATAATTAGCCGGCCCTATTTAGTGGATGTAGTTTAGATCTTGTCGTCGTTGTGATTAACTGAATGAAGAAGAAAAGGACAAGAGATGAAGGCCGCTTGAAACTGTGATAGTGTTCATGATTTGAAATATTCTTTTATTTAAAAATATATTAAAATAAAATATTTTTTTTTAAATTATTTTTAACTTCAATATAAAAATATAATTTTTTTTCATTTTAAAAAAACATTCTAAACTTTTTAGAACACAATACAATCCAAGCACGCCTTAAATAGAAGATTTTCTTTAGTAGTTACTTTTAAAAATATATTAATTTTTTTAAAAAATTATTTTTAATATTAACATAATAAAATTATTAAAAAACTTAATTTAAAAAACAAAACTAATCGACAAACACCCCTGAAAAAACCAGACAACCAACACAGAGTCGATAAACTCTGAATTTATGTCTTGACTTGAATCATGCTTGTCTCTATCTTCTGCTCTGATTTTTTTTTTTTAAATTTTTGTAGTGATTTTATTTATCAAAAAAAATCATTAAAGTAGTTTTAGAATATTTAGATAATATTTATTTTTTTTATAATATTGACAAACACTTTTTTTATTACTTATTAGTTTTTTTTATTGTTTTTTAATTATATTATTAAATTAACAAAATTATAAAATTCATTTAAATTAATCACTCTTATTCCAATTATTATTTTTAAATATTGCAATCACTTGAATGTTTATATATATATATATATATATATATTAAATCAATTAGCCCGGGCCTCTTTAGTGGATACAGTCTAGATATTGTCCTCATTGAAATTAACTGAAAGAAAAAGAAAAGGGCAAGACATTAAATATAAGATTTTCTTTTATTAGGTGATGAGAGTATGTTAACACTTCCTTTTAAAAATTATTTTTTTGATGAAGAATATATTAAAATAATATTTTTATATTTTTAAAAAATTATTTTTAGTATTAATATATTAAAACCATTTAAAAATATTAAAATGAATTAATTTAAAATAAAAAACACATGTTGAAACTAAATGATAAACATCCCTTGAGAAAGCCTGACAGCCACCAAATGGTGGGTGAGCTCTGAATTTATTGATGGACCTCTATCCATAGCCATTAATTCACGTGGTGTCTCGACTTTACTCATGCTTGTGTCTATTTTCTGCTTTGATGACGCAGTCAGATTCGAGGGACCACGTGCAATAATTTCGTCTTCCAATAAACAAATAATAAAATTGTTATGAATTATTGAAGATTTTTTGTTTTTAATACAGCACGTGGATGTGATTTAAAAAAATAAAATTTAAAAATATAACTTATTGATTTTTGAATTTAAATATGTATAAAATATTTCTTTGTGTTTAAAAATGTGTTTATAATTATTTTTCAAAGTAGTTTTTTTATTTTAAAACATATCAAAATATTT